CACCCCTTTTTGCTCCATACAGATTATACTGAGCCAGAAATGATATGCAGTACTCTCCCTGTTGGTGTTTTAGTTTAAATTCCACTGTTGATGACTATCAGGCTAGTCATTGTGATTCAGTAGAAGTGGATAGATATCTGACTCAACTTGATGAGCACTAAAAGTATTTGATCTTCAATGAGTCTAACAGTACTCTGAGTGACATCCAATTAATCTGGTTTATATTTGGATTCCCCATCATTACATTGTTTCATTACCCACTTATAAAACCATCTTATCACACCCGTAATGATCTATTGTTTAATCCTATAAACCATCAAGCACATCTTAACAGAAGGATTAACAGGTGAGGGGGTTAAGATAGGGCATTGGGAATAAGATCTGCTTTGCTATTGATTCGATATGCTCACTACACTCTACAGCAAAAGTAATACATTCAACCTGATATTTGGGAAGATGTAACTCAGGCGAATACTGTCGGCTGAATGGTGCGGCCAGTGTAGGGTGATGGATGATGAGGAGAAAGTTTTGGGATGGGCAGACACCTCTCCCATTAATCTGCAGAACAGCGCTGTCTGCCTCTGTTTGCATAGCAACACCGACTCCCCATTACTCATTTAGCTGCTGCCCATTATCTGTTTGGTGATGAAAGAGTTCTCCTCTACAAGATTTGGAGGGTGCTTTTGGCTTCCCATACTACTAGTACTGCAAGTTATCCGATGTGTCAGTCGTGGACAGTGGAGGCAGTTAATTGCAGCTCTTGCTGTATTTCATGAGAGTGCACACAGAAATAGGAGCCACACAGCCCCTCAAAAAATGCAAACGTTTCAGTAAAGCACCTCTTTTGTTATGCTGTAATGTAGAAACTGGACGCTTCTAGTATTAATATAATAATTGCTAAAATTGAGTTAATTTCTTCACAATTTTAATGTAGTTTTACCTCTGTTCTGCAGTTGTTTGAAATTAATCTTATTTATTTTAAAAAGTGCCCTTGGGCTTTAAATTATGCAAAAGCTTTTGACTTGTGGTATTTGATAATAATGGCTCATAGCAGCTGACTGAGTCTTTGAAATCACTTTTCATAATGCTTGTAGCTCAGAGTTTCCTTTACATTTGGCAGGCATTGCAGCCTTTACCACCTGAGCAGATAGCCCTACTAATTACCCAGTTAATATCGGCTTGTCATACTTGCAATACTCTATGAAGGACAGGTTGGCTAGAAAAATATTATCTGTTGCGAGGTTGTTGTAAATGTTTGTGATTTTTTTTTTCTTTAAAGACTTGCATATCATGAAAATCTGCTACTGTCCATACCTGATACTGATTATCATTTACTTTTATGGTTCAAGTTAAACTTAAAAAAGAAGATAAAATTATAATATGGACTTACATTAATTGAATGAAAATGGTTGTTGCTTTCATATCGTCAAAAGACAAGTTTTATCTCCTATCTAAGACAATGCAGTATTTGTTGTAGTTTAAATAATGGTTAAAACTAGATGTTATTAAGGATATTTTAATCAATGCAGAAGGTTTCTTTAGATACCTGATCAGAAATCAGATAGAAAAAATCTAGACAGGCACGTGAGGATGACATTTAATAGCTATATTTTTGTTTTTTCAAGTACAGAGCAACAAAATGTATTCTCTGCATTTAACCCATCCCCTTGGAGAGCAGTGGGCTGCCATCGTAGGCGCCTTGGAGCTGTGTGGGGTTAAGGTTCTGTGCTCAGGGACAGAGTGGCAGTCTGTGGGAGTGCAGCTCGAACTCAGAACCTCAGGATTCCAAGCTCTATGCGCTAATCACTAGGCCGCCACTCCCATCTGAAACTATGTGTTCAACAGTCACGTCTCTGACAACCAAAACTACCCATCAGTCAAAATAATTCATCATTCTGCCAGCTTTGGTGTCCGAATGAAGACTGCAAACCTTTTTCATTTGACGGAGCCAATTTTTTGTTAATGTATACGCAATAAAACCAGCAGAATTTATACCCATGATCTTTTCCTGGCTTGATATGTTGAAAAATGACTTCTCTAATACCTCTACCGCCAAGTCATTATCCTAAAAGGGACATAAGAATGCAATCTGATTAAGATCAATTATCATCAAAAATATAGCTTAGTCTGTAATAAATCTGTTTTGCTTCTATTGTCATATTTACTTGAAGGGATTTATTTCTCAATGAAAATAAAAGAATCAATAAACTTGCTGGGGAAAAAACTTGAGCAACACATGCTCGTCAAACTAAACTTGATGAAATCAAACTGAGAGGAGATCTATTTGTGGAGCCCCTGCTGGTGTCCTCAGGCACATCCCAGTGTTTTCTTTCTCCATAGAATCAGCAGGATTCCTTTTTGCTCCAAACACTAATAAAACAATGCCAATAAGCATGAAGGGTAGCGAATTACTTGGATAACGGCCTATTCTTTATATTGTATAAAGTAGATCATAAATTGTTCAAATAATTATGCAGATTTGTGGCTGCTTTTACTTACAGGCATAGTTTTTGTCTTTGCGAGCTCTTCTGTTGCCTCTTAGCTTTTGTTTTCAGTTGTTCTGTGGCTCATCCTCACAGATTGTTCTTTTATGAAGCCCCCAAAGACTCTTAGCAAGAGATTAAAAAAACAATGTTTGCCAAGCTTTTATTTTTCTCTCTTCTGTTTGTCCTGTAGTCAGTGAGTGTAATAATCTTTGAGAAGCATTAGGTGTTATGTTTTCACTTATGGTACAAATGTATTCAGAATTGTTCTTAGTTTTACCTTATCAGTGGTTTGGATCATGTTTGTACATCCATCCCATTGACTCTTACACCTTAGATTACAACTCTGTCAACTGCATGCTGGCATCACAGTCTTCTATGTAATCAAAGGTATTGGGTACATTTTTACAAGTAGCTACTTGGGCATTTTTGGCTGTAAAGTTGCAAACATATATCATTTTGTTACTTTGCATTGAGGTATTGGAGACTTTAACTCAAACTGCTACCAAAGCTTTTAACTTGACACCAGTATCAAGAATACTTAATACTTGATACCATTTTTGACTATGCAGATAAAAAAATGTGTATACTTCTTTTTGTAAGATAAATTGACAGATGAACAATGGAAAGAGTTCCCCCCCCTCCTAATTAATGCAAAACTAATGTGTCCATGGTAAACCAGGAAGCATTTATATAAAACAAAGATTAAAACATTAACTTTTGTTAAAAAAGGGTGAAAATTTGTTCCAAATGTTTATATCCATGATGAAATATGCCCCCTGGATTTAAGTGCTGAATAATTTAGTGGAAACTAGGTTTCTAATCAATGATGTATTACCTGTTTCTTCATTTTTCTTACTTGCTTTTTATTATAAAGACTGCTTTAGCTTGAAGATAATTGGTATGTCATTGTAGAATAGCCTTTTCACTCTCTACAGTTATTTTAATGAGAGCATTTTTTTCCTCTATATTTGTCAATCGACATCCCAAATGCATCTCCAAAAGTATCTTATGCAAAAAAGATATATTTCCGTATCTATCAACGCAGGTGAAGATTCTCAGTCATCCAGGTCATAGTCATTCCAAAAAAGTTACCACTAGACTTTGTATTCCAAGTTTAAAGACGTTTCGCTTTCCGTCCTGGAAGCTTTTTCAATTCAAAATGTCAGAATTAGCGTTGAGTTCCAAGCTTTATCGAGATGCCCAACAAAGCCTTGTTTTGGCTTAGAGAAAATGCAAATTGAACGAGAAGAACAGGTCCGACCCTTAGGAATGGGGGTCGTTGAGGTCTTTGTTAGCCTGCAATACCCGTTACTGGTCTATGCCTCTGAAAGGAGGGGGGTCATTAGGGGCATTGTTGGCCTGGCTGACCAGGCGAGTTGTCTTGGTCCCCTGCCTGGCGATGAGTATTATGATAGCGGGAAGGGATCAACTCTATTGCTGTGATGTAGATATTTGAGTGCTGAAGTCCACCACCTCTGTCTAACATTGCTTTTTCTCTCTTAACATGATGGATGCCATTTATGTTAAGAGACAAAAAGCAACCTTAAACAGAGGGGCGGGACTCAGCTCTCAAAAACCTACGACGCAGCGATAGAGTGTATTCCTTCCCACTATCTAATCCGCAATATCTTCAAACTTGGAAAACAAAGTCCAGTGGTTTGTTTTTTTAACTTTTTTGGAGTTATCAACACATAATCTTTAGGATTGGAATGTATCATATTAACAAACTATACCAGAGATGGAAACTAACTACTTTGTATTAATATCCAAACTATTCTTCTAATAGGAATTGTATTTATTCATTTACCCAAAGTAATTACCTTAGATCATGTTGTTTATTTGGAGTAAGAATGTTAATCTGAATCATTTCTGTATATCGCTCAGATTAATGCAAACATTTGGTTTCCGGGTTGATTTTCTTTTGTAGCCCAAAAGCATCTTTGTAATTCTCAAACCTAAGAGTTATCAAGCAGACAGCTTCAGCACTTTTTTCCCTCTCAAGTTTCAGTAATTCTACTTTTAATATATATTTTCTTCTATTTTTGCAATCGTCCTATTAGGTCTTTCCTTTGCAGCTTTTCACTGCTCACTGCCTCCTCTTTTGACTTTTCAGGCTATTGTTCTAAATTTTGCCGTTATTTCCCATTTTCCATTCTTAAGATGATCATTTTTCATATCCATATTCCAGAGACTTGCCTAATTATGTAGAACAACTTATAAATGTAAGTTTTCCTTAAAGTAGGATTAACTATAAAACCATGAAACAGCCCTGTCACACACAATTAATTGTTAAGTTTTGATCCAGGGAGTTTTAATCAGAAGCTGACTGTTAATGCCACACAAATCCTTTTGATGGATCTCCTATTTAGATGTGGTCTGACACCATTCTTAGTTTTTGCAGCTTTTGAAAAACAAAAACAATTGTGTCTTTGTTTGTTGTAAAGGTTTATTTATCAGTGTAATGAGCTTCATCACTCACATGTAGTCGTTATTACTTTATTTGTTTTCTTTCAGGATGTCCAGTTGACCGTAGCAAGAAGAGAGAAGTGGACGGGATTGCATCTCATTCTCACATTATCAAACCTGCTCCAGTCAGCGGTGGTTTTAAAGGAGGACCTCTGTCACCCAGAAACGCCCTCCAACTCAATGGTCAGTGCATCCTGCTAAATATGTTTCAAAAACCAAACAGATGCATTTGTTGCCATCACTGAGAACAATTTTTTAATTGTGAGGTTACAATCTAATAACATTTTGCATCCAGCTTAACGCAGACGGCATCTGTCACCATTACTCTTTGTATAATCTGAGATTGTCCCCGCTCTCCTCTTATGCTTTTTTCTTTTTAATGACGTACTCATGTTTTATGAAGGATTTAAAACTTTAGACAGAGCCATACATAAAACAAGGTGTCTAGTGACCCATGTTCATATTAGTTTGGCCTAGATTAATGTCAATCCTCATTTGCAGTTAACCAGTAGAGGCCACCAGATTTCTATGTGTAATGATCAATGCACTCATAATGCCATGCACTCTGACGGGGCTGACAGGTTGTGTGAAAGAAAAGCAGGCCCAGAGCATAACATATTGTTTACCGTGCTCAAAAGAGGCATTACGGAGTTTTCTAATGATACTGCCACCTGTAACCATAACACAGTACTGCAGGGTCTTCTGCTCATTGTCACACTCATTGTTATATATATATATATATATATTTTACTTTTTTCCACTTACGTGGAGTTGCCATTGGTATCTGAGTTGATGTGGATGTCGGTTGCTTCTGAGTATCCACAAAACCCATATTGAATTTAACACTTTGATTGTTTGCAAGGTCGGACTCATCTAACATGGATGCATTTTCAGGGTTCCCGCGGGTCCTTAAAAAGTATTAAAAGGCATTGAATCCTTCAAAATAATACCAAGGCCTTAATTGATATGAAAATGTCTTAAATGAGTCTTTCGTAGGTCTTATTTTTTTAAATTTATTTTTGTAATCTAAATGAAACATTAAAATTGAAAACATACATGAGGCACAGTGTATTTTGTGCAAGAAGTCATTCAAGCTCAGAACGATGGGAATTAAGGCAGTGGAGTCGCACATGCGAAGCAGGAAACACAAAGTGTCAAAATCGAGTTACCGAGAAACAGCCGGTATTTCTCAGTTTTGTTCCACCCTTGTCTCTACAGCGCCTCCACTTATCATCAAATCAAACATACTAAGAAAACGATACAAAGAAAAATAGCTGCAAAACAGACTTAGCACTGGTTAAGTTGTGGCTTTAAAACTGATTTGTTTTGTTCCCTGCTAAAACAAAGTTTGTGAATTCAGTTAAATAATTGTTAAAATCTATCTGTCATTTGTGTGTTTTTAGCTTTCTTTCTGTATGGGAAGCTTTTCAAAATTTGAAACATAAGTGCAGTGGCTTATGTTAAAATAAACCTTTGGGTTAAGTTGTCGCAAGCGGGTTTTTCTTGTGTTTCTTGTGAATTTGGTCTTACATTTTTATTTCAAGTGGCATTAAAAAGTCTTAAATTTAACTTGCTTTATGCTGTAGGAACCCTGATTTTACGTCACATCGACCGAACAGCACGACAACCTCAAACCCGAAGTAAATACAGAAAATTAGGCTACAGGTTTATAATTGCATCAAGGCTTAACTACTGAGGTGTCAGTCTGCTCATCAAACTATATTTTAATTAACAAGGGTCAAGCAAATAGGGTATTTTAAAGATATATTTCAGTAAAAATATATCTTTAACAGAGGGCATCAGACGGTTATTTTGAAATATAAATTTTTTGCCAAATCAGTCAAGCTGATCTAATCAATAGACAAGACTACAGTTACAATTTTAGTAGAGTTTACATGAGTGGTTAAAATTTTTGATGGTATAGGAGTTCTTGTTCTTTCCCAAAGATCAGCTATGATAGAAAGAGTTTTAAGTTTTGTGATCCAGTGATGCCACCTCTTCTTGCGGTTCTCTAGCAGAGAGCTTTTAAAAAAAAAATGTTTTCACCCTGCTGAACTCATCCAGCAAGGTCAGCATGCAAAACGCATCTGCAATTATACCCCAGGGGAAAGAGAAGTCCATGGCTACTAATGAGAAATTTATAAGTTCTAATTACCCTAAAAAAAAATGCAGTATAACTTAAAAACATTTTTCAGTTGTGTTAATTTTAAAAGGCTGTCTCACATGTGTTGTTTGTTATAAACAACCGCTTCCTTACCTTGATTTAAATAACAATGTAGTCAAATTGAATGTTTTATATTTCTCAGTTTTCAGAAGGAAATTATGCTAATGCAATAACAGGTGCTTTTATTTCTGGACTTTAAAGGGCATCAACAAGTAATCTGAATCAGATAATTTCACATTTTAGCTTCTCCACTCAGCTGTCAGTGTGTGTCTGAGCCCTTATTTGAGTGGAGGCCCAGCCACAGAGGAATTAATATCTTTTATTTGGGCACTCACCATGCTGCTGCCGCCTTGATCAGCTCACCCAGATACATTTCACATTCTTTCTGCTGGCTGCACCACCGAACCACTCAATTTTCAGGCTAATTGAGCTTGCAGAGGCGTCTCTAGTGGTTAGCCACAATCCTGTTTGTGTTTTTTGACTGTGTGTGTGTGTATATGTGCACAAGCATGGCCTTAGCAAAGGCGCACAGACACACAGGGGGGAAACCAATTTTTCCCTCAATTAAGCGAGCCATCATCAGTCAACTGGGCTGCTGTTGGTAAATTTGCCTTGAATTTTAACTATTTCAGAAACTCACACATTCCCAGTTAGAGGCATCACGTTAGACATATAAAACAAGCGTAGAATTGCTTAGGGTGATACAAAGCGCGTCTGGCAGGTATGGAATTGCAGATTGGCCTGCAGAGAGGATTTGTCATTTCTCGCCGTAACCAGAGCACCAATAAACCGATATGCATTTCAAAGCTGAATGCAGGTCAGATTTTATTTTCAAAATAATATTTACAAATAGTTTCACTTCACAATCACTTCACAGACTGCCGCAATCAGTTACTCACACCTATTGCTATAAACGAACACAGGCTGTTTACCGTTTACTAAGTCTTCCACATATCTTCTCCACCGCAGCCTGCCTACTTTTAATCTCCTCTACATTCTCTGCTTCCTTCACTTCACCTCAGCGTGCCGGTTAAGCATACAGTGTACCTAAATGCTTTCACTGGAGCCCATTCATAACAGTAAGACAGAGTGTGCAATGAAGTCCCACACCACTGGGTTGTGTGTGGGTGTGTGTGTGTCGCTTTCCTGCCCCACTTCTTCCTGCCTGTGGCTGTGAAGGATAGCCAGACACTATCGGGTTAGCCCACTGGCTCCCAGCCTGATACCGCTTTGATAATGAGACTTGGAAAAAGGTCTAAGAATAAGGAGTCATACAAGGAGGGGAAATCAGAGAAGAATAGCAGACATCAAAGGATTTATTTGGAAGCAGACGCCCTAGAAATATAGTTCACAGAGAAAGTTTTATGAAACTCCAAATTAAATCAGGATAAATTAAGTCCATAAAAATGGCAACAGTGTTCATTTATTACTTTTAAATAGTTTAGCCTTTCCTTTCATTTCCTGTATCCACTTTTTTTCTTTTCAGTCATGTGCTTTTGGAGAAAACCTTGGACATGTTAGCCATGCATTACATTACAAAGATGTTTCTCTAACCTTAAAAGGGCAGCTTTAGACACAAATTATGACATACATATTTTTTGAGGTGAGGGAAAATGTTTAGATGCCGATGGAAAATCCATTACATACACAAGCAGTGGATGGAAACAACAAACAGGCTGGGTCAAGCTTAAGGTGTATTTAATCATAAAAAAATCAAACTGCTTTTTTACCTGAAAGGTACATATGATGTACGGTTTTGAAAGCAGTCAATTTCCTGCTGCTGTAGATCCTGCAGGTTAAGAAAGAGCTTTGCAATGTACCAGGTTTGACTGCAATTTGCTAAAATGGGATTACGACTGTTGGTTATATAAATTGATGTCAGTTTGTAATCATGCAGATGTTTTCATTTTGTTGTCAGTTTGGATGTATGGTAAATGTTGTCTGTGCAACAGTAATTTAATGAATATCACCAGAAATGATTGATACTGAGAACACTGGCTGTTAAGCCCCTTTAGAAGGAGCTGCAGCTCTTTTGCAACAATAATAATCTTGTAGCTCATTAAGTGTGTTGCTATGTTCAGATCGCACGCAGCAGAAGCAGCAAAAACATGTGTGCTGCTTCATTTTTGATGCTGGTAAAAGTTTAGTTCTGACGCGCAACTCGAGCATCTTTGCTGCTCCAATAAAAAAATCTGTTCCTGGCATAAATCCAACCATAGCTTAATATTCAGCTAAAAGCTTCTTATTCTCTCTGTATTACAGTACTGCAGCAAGCTCATATTTGGAAAATGCAACTGTGTGTAAATCACCAAGACCTCTGCTACTCTTGCCTGCGACTCGCTGGAGCTTCTGTCTCAAATTTGTGCATATCATCGGATTCTGTAGAATGTGACCTTTCCTATGAAGCTCCCTGATCGGACAAACGGTTATTTAGATACACCTGTTCATGCATCTGTCTGCTACTTAACTTTGTATATATAGTGAGTATTTAGAGTGATGAAATAAATACAACTTTTTTTGAAGGAAAGCTGAAATTTTCTTACCAAATATATAAGAGCATTCCACATGTTAAAATTTCAAGAATAAATTTAAAATTTTAGATATTATGCCTGGAGTTTTTTTCAATCCAAAAATCTATAACTTCTTAGTTGCTTGTTGGATGGACACCAAACGTGCTCTACATATAGCCAAGATGTTGTATTTACAGTTTATTATGTTTTTGTATGTAAACATCTGGATTTTTTTTTTATATAATTGGCCATTTAAATCTAATTTACTCAGGCCCAGAATAATTTACTTTTCGATTTTACCATCCACATTATCCTCCACCTTTATGTCACTTGATAACTTGATAAGAAGTTTAGGCAGTGTACCGTTTGAGAATGGCCCTATAAAGTATGAGTACGCCTTTTTTTAGACCTGTGGGCTTAAGAGGTTTTAGAGTAATTAATCTGTTCTTGAAGATAAAAAAAATCCCATAGTGTTTTGCAAGAGCAAACAATGCATAAAATCAGTAAAAATAATATATAAAAAAGGAGTTTTGATGTTTTTAAAGCAGACTGGAGAATCCTTCGACTTCAAGTCCAAATGAAGGTAGTTCCAGACCCTCTGCACCTCAGAGCAAAATGCTGTTTTTATCTTATTAAACCCTGCAGTAATTTACTCATGATAAAGCTTTAAAAACTAAAGCAAGGGAAATAAATACTCCTTTCAGCTATTTGCCCTGTCAACCAGGTTGCTATATTTGCAAGTTCAGTATTAAAAGTGAACCTAATGGAAATATTTGGTGTGCATAATATATAGCATTTCATTTATACTTCAATTTAAGGGTTTAGAGTTGAGAAATTTGGAATATTTCTGATCCTTTATGGACACTGGTAAGAAACAATTGAAAAAAATGCATTAACAATGAAAAAAAGATGAAAAAAACAAGCAACAATCCATTTTGTGGAAGAATAACCAACATGTTTGATTTGTTGTGGCTTTTCATATTCAAAGTGCTATTTCAAATCACCAATCACAAAGCCTGTTCTTATTTCAAACATGCCAGCTGATTAAAACTGCTACCTTTCTGAAAGCATCTCAAATCACATGTTAAATATTTATAACCAGCTTTTTTCTGTTTGAATTTTGCACAGAGCAATGTTTTAAAAGCTTGCTTTAAAATTGCCTTACATTTTTTGGCAAAACAGCACATCTAACCAAGAATTCAAAGACAGCAGAATACAGTAAGCAACTTGAATTCATCACAGTTGTCATTTGTGATTGGACAGAAAGGTTTAAGGCTCACTGAGCGGATACAAGCAGAGCATGTGGTATAAAGAAATCCAGTTCAAATGGAGAAAAAACAAGCAAATGCCAGAGCTTTACAAAGTTTGTTCTACAAGTTGTACATAACAAAACAGAACTGGGTTAATGCACAAGAGATGCTCCCAGAGAGCTGTAGAAAACTGATGAGTGCATGGGAAAATTAGTAAAGGTCTAATGCCTGGTGTACAACAAACACAGGAGGTAATGTTCCTGAAGGGCCTAAATAAAAGCCCACTTTATACATCTATGGGTTTTTTTTCTTTCCATCCTCTCTTTATTAAACCATTTGCTGATGTACCGAGTACTTTTGTTCCTATTTTTTAACTCTGCTCATTTACGTTTTTTTCTGATTTATGACCACTTTCAGTGAGTCTAGTTCCATTTCACCCATTACTAAAATCTAGACCCTGTTATTGTTAGCATTATTATTGCCAAAAAACTTAAGAATTTAAGGAAACACGTTTATTTTAGATATAATCTTTGTTTAAAAATCTTTTTTAAAGCTGGAGATGAGAAAAGATTCCCCAGTGAATGAATTCCTCACTGCAGCCTTTCTTTTATTGGCAGCGAGAAACGCTGCACACAGGCTGGATGGAGATCGGATGCTGCTGCACAGAGATAGGGGGACAGCCCATGACATCACCACCGAAGCCCCAAACCTGAACAGTGATAGCAGGTTGCGGAAGCTGGACTGCATGGCTGCCGTGCGTCAACTGGAGGCTAAACAAAACACCAAAGCAACTGATGTTACGGTAATGTCAGAATGTGCACATAGATTTTTAGTTACATGCTTCTCTAAAAAGCTGAGAAACAAACAAAAAAACACCTAGCATTTCTTAATATGGTAGTCACTTTAGTAACAATGACAGTCGGCTCTTTATTGTTATGATAATCATTTGTTTACAAATTCTGTTTTAGCTAAATCTGTAGTTAAGATCTGAATCTATTTTTGCACAAGCAGTCGTAAAACCTTAAGGTCAGTTTTAGCTAAAACAGTGGAAAAATAAAAAAATATGTGTTATATTAAGTAAGAGATTGAAGGCTAGAGTAAAAACCATTAAACTAAAGTTTTTCAGTGGACACATATTCCTATTTTGTTTTCTGAGTAACATTTACTGTATTTTCCAGACTATATGCCGCTACTTTATTCCCTACGCTTTGAACCATGCGACTTATAAGAAGGTGCTGCTTTTCTGTGGATTTTTCCTGACTACCAGAGGGGGAAGTCAAAGTAGAAAATTAAAGAATAAGGGACAAATTTTCATTTAGAACAAGTACATGTTAGCATCAGGCAAGACGGAGAATAAATGTACTGAATTCACACATTTTGCGATTTATTTGCTGCATTAAAGCTGCCGAACCAATGAGGGGACTGGGCTTTACTCCTGTAGAGCTGAAATAAAGAGCTGACGAAGTCCCATCTTGCAGTAGAAGCTCTTACTGCTGTGAGTCTACAAGCTAACAGGAGCTGGCATTCTTCTTTGTCCCTACTCCAGGGGACAAAGATTTTAATTAGATTTAGTGGGCATGGCTTATAGCGCGCTCTATATTCCAGAAAATATGGTAACTAATAACCTGGGTGTAACTGTTAACTAGCCTGCATTCTGCTGCTTAACACACCTGTAGGTCTAAAAACCGTATTTGAACTGTCATTCCAAAAAGTGTCGTCTCCATAACGGTGATGGTTACATATGTTTAAATGGGATTACTGGACTTTCCAAGCTGGTAATAGAAACATGATGGAGGAACTGTTCCTCATAGCTGGAGAAAACGGTGCTCACACCACAACTTTTTCTGAAAAGTTATTCAAATGTGATTATTTTAGGGCTTTTGAAATGGTACGTTACAAAGATGACCAGAAAGCAGTCATGTATAGTGTGTTATGCTTTCTGTATTTGTTGGTGTATGTGTGCTTAATCTGAATTTTAATTAATCTGATTTTATAAATATTTTTACGATGATACTATTTGGCCGATTTTATTAAATTAAAACATATAGAGTTTTTTGATAGGAGCTGTGTGGCGCTGTATAGAATGTAAAATTAATTAGAGCTGGAGGTGTCTTTTTTTAAAAGGGAGTTTTTTCCTCTCTACTGTCACTACAAGCATGCTTAGTGTGAGGGATTGGATTCGAGTCACTGAGTCGATGCAATCAACTGGTTTTCCTTAGATAGAAAACTTTAAATTAATTTGACTGGATGATCTGGTGAACTGTAAAGTGCCTTGAGATCAAATGTGTTGTGCATTGGCGCTATATAAATATTATAATTTTTATGTTTTTCTTTCTTTATAAGTATGTAGTTATAAAAAACTATTAGGTGACCCTAATTTGTTTTATTTCCAAAGGTTTCTAATATATATATTTTTTGGGGGTTTTCAAAAACAACCTAATAATTCCTTTATTAGTCATGGTTTAAATAGATATTTTACATACACTGTCACATATGTTCCTCTTTGTTTTTTTTCTGATTAAACAAAATGTTGTAAAATGTTTTCAGCCATTCCAGATACTTCTGCTCTTTGCACAGTAACAGGTTAAATCAGAGGGATTTTGTGGAAAAAAAATATCACCTTCTTAGAGATTACCCAAAATATTTTCTTTTTTTGTCTCAGACTCTTGACTAAGATGAAAAGTCTGTAGCACTAAGCCTACCCGTTTGCAAAACATTCATCCAAGCTGGCCCCTGTTCTGCAGAAAGACTGCAATCAGATGAGAGGCAGTCAAGTGTTAAAATATGTCTTGAAATAGTCACTGAAAGGTCACAGAGAAAATTATTGATATAGTGCAACCTGAGTTTTACCGGCTCCACTTTGGCTTTTGTTTCTAGCAGTTATGATGACATTTTACTCTCCAAAGCCATTACCTGAACACTCAGCACTGAGAGGGCCAAAGTTATGATCTGTTGCACAAGAACACAGCAGATCTAAACTGACTTTAAAGCAGCTCTAGAAATTGTCTTTGGGTGGTGACTATCATCTTGTATAGCATGATGCTACTGTGAAACATTTAATAGCCTTTTTTTTTTTTTCTTGCCAGGATCTGAAACCAGCGGCTCGTATCATCAGAGAACATCCACCCAACGATGAGTACAGCAAAGAGGAGGGAATAGCTAACATGCTGAGCCAAGCCATCACCACCCAGCACCTTCTCTATGCCAGCCTGGGCTCTGCTGAGTACATGGAGTTTGTCCTAAAGAATCCCTTCAACGTCCCTAAGACGGTCACCATCCACACTGATGACTCCGAGCTCAGGTACTATTCTCTAGACCAGAGGTAACCCATTAAAAATCAAAGAAAATCATCAACCATTAAAGTTCCGGAGACATTTTTAATTATAATCTGTTATTTTAAACAGAATTTAACAGTGAAATAAAATAAGGTTTTTATGCATCCATGTTATACATTGATTTTTTTAATAAAAAATATTAAAAAATAGAACATTTTTTACATGGAGAACAACAATCATTCAGTTTGGTATATAGACAATTTCCTGATTCTATTTTATTTTATAAAACCCCTTTTTTTTATTTTGTGTGGCTTAGTGAGAGAATACATACTCACAATGTGCAGGGTCATCTTTGAGCACACCTTTTCACTTCTCTTTCACCAGTTCACCGCAGTCCTTCCAGCATCTCACACTTTCTCTGCTCTATTTTTATCATCGTCTTTTCCTTCTTTCCCATCGCATGGCTTGCCACAGGTTTGCCTGCTGTGTCTAAAAGTGGCTTGCTGCAGCGCCCCAGACTGAAACAGCTCATTGGCTAATTTGCATCACGTGTAGCCTGGTCCCGGCACTCTGGAATGCTTTACCATATTAACAGAAGGTGTGGGGCAAGTGAAGTTAGACATTGCTGTTGGACAACATGCGGTAATTTATAAATGTTTTAAATGAGGTTGGGTCCATGACCCTTGCTCCAGACAGTGAGATAGAGTGTTTATAGCTACTGTACACAGCGAGATCTCTGAACACCAAAGAACCTTTGTGGTTATCCTCAAGTGAACAACTGCTATGGAAATAGCTTTTTAACCAAAACCTTTGAATTTTCTCTGCTAAAATGTTTGTCTGCAGTGAAAAAACAAATATGGTGGTGTGTGCTTTTATCTCAATACCTTTTAGCTCTGATTCAGACCCCCTTATTTGGAAAATATAGGGAGTTCAGTAATTGTAAAGGCTTCTAATTGAGCTGGCCAATAACGCTATCACAAAAAAGTCATTGAAGCCTTCATTGCATTTTTAGTCTTTTATCTAGGAGCATTTTGGTAACTCCATAGCAGAAAGAACAGGTAGAAGAGTAGCAGACAAGAAACAAACAGTTTGGATATTATGCTAAAGTTAGCCCTTGCCTCAGGACTTTTTGTGCTCCTAAAATAAAGGTTTTACTCATTTTATAAATGAGTCTGAACTGCATATTTTTCTCTTTAATTTAAATGTGAAGCTAATCCAGACATGTACAAAGTCATTCCTCGAGGGCCACTGACCTGCAGGTTAGAGGTATCCCTGCTTCAGTACAGCTGGTTCTGATGATTTCAGTTCAGCAAAAGCCTGATAATCAGCTATCAATGAAAATCAGCTGCACTAAAGCAGGGAAACATCTAAAACCTGCAGGACAGCTGCCCTCGAGGACTGACTTGGGCATTTCTGAGCTAATATAACTCAAGGTAAATTATTTGACACTAAAAAAAGATTCTTTAAAGCAAAATTTGAGGGGTTTTTTGGGCCCATTTTTATTTGTCAAAACACACAAAGGGGATTTTCAAAAAATTAGACAAGTATAAACAACTCCATTGGACAAGTTAATCCTGCACTGGAATATTTTAAAAGAAAGTTGATGAAAAGTTGATGAAAAGTTTGTGAAATGTTCCCCATTTTCCTATATTATATCTAATAAAACTGTATTTATCACTCGTGCACTAAGGTACCCTATGCAGTGGTAGCGGTACCATTTCTTCTGGTCTTCATCTATAACCACTTTGGTTCCCTACGGCCTTCGTCTGATGAACATGCTATCTTTGCGGTGAAATTTAATTTCAAACAGTGATTATTCACACTACAGGGAAGCTGACCTAAAGGAGTTTTGCAAGCCTAGATTTGGTTATTCTTATATATCTTTTTTTAATGAAAGAAATTAAATGTATCTTTTGGGAACCACCAATGTATATATTTGATTAAAATAACTTTCAGAAATGTTAGGGGAACCAAATAGGGAACTTTCCACTTAGTTTAACATTATTGGATATTTCCCCTATCTTTAAAGCAGCTGAGATCACTTCTAAGACTACTTCATCTGTACCTCATTACACTCATTTTTTTATTCATACATGCATTTCACAGATATTTGATTTTTGATGTTTTTATGATCATTTTTTGATTTATTAATTATGTCCTAGTATATATTTTAGATAACTACTACTGTATCTGTGTAAAGAATGTCCAAAGATTTCTTTAGCCTGTTAAGTGTGACTTATTGACCAACTTTTTTTCTTTTTGCCTCAATCGTACTTTTTTCATCAGTGGAAGCAGTTTCCCATGTTTCCACAACATGTGTTACCTGCGTTAAACTGGAAGGATGTTGTAAATATATCGGTGGGTCTCCAATCTAACACACGAGGCGCGAACATGTGGTTTTTTGTGCCGTATGTGTTTCCTGTTGTTAGATCGTAACGAGGCGTGCTCCTACGTGAGGCCGTGTTCACACTTTTGGAATGTGTTTTCAAATGTGATGTTAAAGCTCAGGAGCCTATTTGCGCTCTGTATCGATGATGATTAATGTTTCATCCTCACAGCTTACTGAGAAGTCAGTTGTTTGACAACTAAACTATTCAGCTATTTTTAAAACATCACCCCTCTTTTCATCATACTCTATGTAGCTGCATCTAGTTTTGGGAGCAGATCTTGTTAAATTACACTGAGGTCATAATAAAACTGGCTGTTAATTCAATACAAACTGTCAATTCACATCATCTTACAGCCCTTTATAGAGACTATTTAATCAATCATGCAGGCAGCTTACTTAACCGTGTATTAAGTTCTTGACTTTGAAGAACCCCCTACCCCTGGTTTCACTTGTGGCAATGCTAGATATCTGCTTGTGTTGTATCGTTGCCTTTAGGACGAGTTTGGCCACGGAGCCAAAATCTTTTTCTGTTTACTTCAGTTTATTTATATGAATCAAAATTAGAACAAATGTAATCTCACTGACACTATAACAGGTGAAGATGAGCAAACCATATCTATGTGTACTACTTAGAGGAAAAACAGAGAAAAATGTGTCTAAATAAAGACTTGTTGGTAAAACATTGCTTTCTATTTGATGTATTCTTTTTTTATTTTGCCTCTGGGTCGTACATGTCATGAAACTATGAATTGTGTGCAGTTCCCTAAGGCAGTGTCTGCTGAAAAGCCAAGTTTCAGTGTTACACCCAAACTCAAAAGTCCTGATGCAGCTGACGAATTGACAGTTGGTCCGCACAGTATTAGCTGCAACCAGCCTCAGACTTTGTGGATAAGAGAATCGCAAATAATTATACATGGATGTGACTTTAGATCATCTAGGTTGACCTTCTAAAAAAAGAGGCTGTCAACACGGATAAAGGAGATCAGTTTAGTTTACAAGAATGTTTCTATATGCTGTTAAGTTTTAACATTTTGCTCCATTCTAACAGACGAACGATAGTCCCAAAATAAAAGCCAAAGAAGATTCTCCCGCCTTCAGTAACACAAACATGTCCTTGACACAGATGCATCTATAATGCTAGTGATATGCCTAGAAAGAAATCTCCTTTAATCCAAACACAGCAGCCATTATTCCTGATGTTTGTTTCTTTCCTGGCGTGCCCGCTTCTTTTCATGTAGCATCATTGTTAATCCCCTTTTCGTAAAGGCTTTTGTTCTGGATTCTGATCATGCCTGAGCTTCGGATTAACATATATCAGGTTGATCAACAAAGGCAGCAGTGCACCATGGATAAATCATTATGGCATTAGCTCGACCACTGGGCTTACTCTAATTGAGAGTCATCAATCCCACTATATGTCCTCTCTGTGTCTTCGTGGCCTCTTTGTTTATTTATGATAAAGCAGTGTGACAGTTTCCACCAAACACTTTCACTGTTACCAAGTTTCAGAAAATGTAAATGACAGCAATTTATTTGCAATCTGTACATCCTACACTCTTAGAAATGCTAATGGTGTAATGTTCCTAACACACCAATAGTTGGCAGTACTTACTTTGAAACTCAATAATACGCTTGCAAATGCACATAAATGCTCTATGCTTTATGCTGTTGAAGATATCTATCATCCAGGTCATGGTCATTCCAAAAAAACTTATAAAATAAGCCACTGGACTTTATTTCCAAGTTTGAAGACGGTTCGCTTCCCATCCAGGAAGCTTTTCAAAATCAAAATGTCAGAATTAGCATTGAGTTCGAGGCTTTATAGAGTGGCCCAAAACAAAGCCTTGATTAGTAAGTGACATTTTTGTCTTTAATGACCTGAGAGTGGAGTAAACTTTAAATCTTAATCATATGTTTAAAATTTTTTGTTTAATCTTTGACACATCAAAGACATGCAAAAATATAATACTCCTCCAATATTTATGGAAAATTGTATATTTTTATCATACGTAATACATGACACTGCTAAACCGCTTTTAAAGTGTTAATATCTTTAACAGTGTTGGCAAACGTTAAGTTTTTGTAAACCTCATACATCTCCAGAAATGTTCTGCAGGCATAATGGAGCTTTCTATGTAATACAGTTTAATTCCTTCATCCTTATTTCTGTTGGTTTCTTCTCCGTCTCAGAGGGGGAAGTCAAACTATCTATGATATCTGTGTTGCACTACATGAGCAGCAGCTTGGTTAGATTTTGCTCCGTTGTTACTTCCTCATCAATATTTCAGCCAATGTTTGACAAGCAGCTTTCTTGAGAACCCAGGGGGAGCCGCAGGTCAGGTCTTTTTTCCACAGAAACAAACAAGAAAAAAGGCTGACCCTCACCCACAATTCCAGCGTCGGTCTTTGAAGACAGAGTATTTATTGAAAGGCTAAGCTAGCTGTAGCTTTGATGTCGGCAGTTGTTTTCAAGCCCAGAGGCTCCTCTTGATGTAGAGGACACATTGGCTACCTGTTGCTATCAATTTTGTAGGGATTTTACACTTTTCCTGAGACTGATGCCCAACTGACTGTGTGTTTCTTTTGAGCAAGGCTGCTCTCTTTTACTTATGCTTCCTCCACCAACGTTTTCAAATCTGGGTTTTTGTCTTCGTCTTCTTTAGTTTTTGGTCTCTCATACTTTAAAATTAACCGGCCAACAGTGTGTAATAAAAACTTGCAGGTGAAACAAACTCTTTGTTGCCTTAGCCAAGGGTGAAATGATTTATTCAAGTGTCATAGTGGGAATATCCACATAAATATCATAGAATTGACTATAGCATCTTTGCCTAATGTTGGCAAGATGGAGCTCTAAAAAATTTAAAAACTCAGTCTCCTATTGAGAGCAATTCCGCTCTCCACTCCCGTGGCTTCAAACCTTTGAAGTCTTAAGGCAGCCGTTCCCTGAATGAATTTGTGTGTGAAATATTTTGCATATAAAGAGAAAAGGAGGAGAGATAAGACTTTTCGCCTGTTGGAATGGGTTATCGCATTCTGGCCACCATTCCCTGGAAATCCTTTTATTAGGGGAGAAAACCGGGGCCTTTTCTGACCTCTTTACACCTTTTTTTCATACCCGCCGTCACCATGTTAACCCACACCAATGTTTAGCTTCTTGGTTCAGGGGTTTGTTGGAATTTTACCCATGACAGTACACCGGTTAGACTTCAGATGGTGTTTATTTTTTAAGTTGTTATGAAACTAGCAGCCTTTTTTTATAAATAGCTTGACTAGGGGAGCAAAGTAGGAAGGGAGAGGCATGGAGTTAAATGCCAGGAGTTGAGACTCGAACCAGGGGACAGCTGCTTAGAAGACAGTCGTCTTCTGACACGGAGCACCAGCTCCCGTCAGCCACGGAGAAGCCGCTGGTTTATGATGTTCTTCACTCCTATAGAAATAGAAAGCTGTAAATTTCAACAAGCCTCTCAAGTGGGTAATTTAACAGCGTATGAAATGGTTCATTACCTTCATTTCAGGAGATTATGTATGATAAAAAGGATGAGAGTCATTCTGTTAAATCTGCTGCTTTTTACATTAAGATAGTGCAAACACAAACTTCAGTTTCACTGTTAGGATTTAATTAGGTAGAGCAACACAAAGTAGTTTATATTTGTGAAGTGAGAGGAACATTAGACTTTATTCTCTAAGTTTGCTGCTTTCAGATATATATATAAAAAAATAAATGTGTAGAATCTTTTCACATTTTCTACCTTCCCAACATATTACTCTGTAGAAATACCTTTTGCTGCAGCAGTAGCTAGAAGTCTTTTAGGGAATGTGTTTATTGATTTCTGTTGAGGAAAAACAAAGTAATCACATGCCATGATGCTGCCATATCTGTTTCATAATGGGCAGGCTGTTCTGTGTTAGTTCCACAAAGTTTGCACATAGGTATACAACTTATAAGTTTAGTTTCATTTATATCATGTTCTTGGCAATCGAACATTTTAGGGGGGAAAATAAATAAGAAACCATCCAGTCAACAAATCACAAATACTCACAAAAAATATGAGTGATTAGAATCTACGCCTTTCTTTAGTGGGAGAGGAAAAAATGTTTTTACTTTGATATAAATGCAAACCCATACAGAGTTTAGCTTTTTTTTTTAGAGAGGAATTGTCCATATAAACATACACAAATGTCTTCTTTAAATGGAAATGTTGGCAAAATTGTATTGTTTTTAACCTGAAGCAATTTGTGATTAAAAAGGAATCTATTAATTCTAAAAGTAAAGTCTACAATATTTTTATTTAGGCATCAGTATCAAGATATACATTGCCATTTGAAGCAGCTGCTTTTACTATTTATATTGTTTTCTATCATGAATAGTGAAGGTTTGATTGTTCTTTTTTTCCTAAACATCCAAATTTGCTATGCAGTAATAAATAATGAACAAAAAACCCTTATTCTATTCAATCTTTCCTGCTCAATAACAAACTAAAGACATAACATTGCACTTTTAGTCATCAGTCATCTGAGTTTCATAGTTTTGTAAATCTGTAGATCCAGAATATAACAATATTCTAATTCTTAAGTTTTCCATTTTGTAGACAATAACAACAAAAAGCCTGAAATTGGAGGCAACTGGACTTTTGCTCAATTTTTCGGGCTTGTTGACTCCTGTTTCCGAGTCTTTTTCAATTTTGCCAACTCTTCTTTTCCAGTTTCTTAGAAAAGAAAATTTTTGAATAAAGAGATGTCTTTCTTTGCTTCACAAAATTAAATGAGTTGCTGTGAGAATATTCTGCTTTTGAATAAATGTTGCAAGATGCTTATCATTGCTTTTTAAATATTAAAACTAAAATTGTTTAGCAAGGAGAGATTTTTTTATTTACTCAAATTTTGCAAAGCCTTTCAATTTTTTGAAAGGCTTTGCATTATTAGAAAAAAATTATTCTCCATTTTTGTCAGCGGTCTAATTTGAATCAACTTTGAAATCTTAGTTATTTAAACGTTGTTTGCAGCACTGTTTGTAAATTATTACACAAATTAGAAAGTCATTTTGCAAAACTTTTAAAATATATATATATATATATATTTTTAGTGTTCAGTATTAACTAGTTTTTAATACATACTTAGTTCTATGTTAATTATTTCAGACGCTTATTTTAACATTTTCTATTTGGTGTTTTATTAGCGTCCATCAGATTAGGGTTGTTTTATTTATAAGCCAAAAAAAAGAGAATTTTACAATATTTACTAAGCAAAGGCTATTTTCAGATATTTTTCAAAGGTGTTGACTTGTGGTAGAATCATTTAAGGATGGTTAGATTTTCAGTTTAATATTCAGCATTAGGCTTACTCCCCACTACAGCTTGTTTAAGAGGGAAAAAAAGTAAAGCACAAATAAGTCTAACCTGCTAAACTTTAGACATTATTGGCTCCTTGATACCAGGTCATCCTGAGTGTTTCTCTTAAATGTCAATTTTCCTATCAATGTTTAACTGATTCATGTAAAAAAAAAAATCCAAATATTTGCTTCAAAGTGTGAGATGTCCCCTTTAGTACTTTTTTAGTTTATTTTATATGTAGAAGATTTATTGTCTTTATTTTTTATCTTTAATTTGGCTTTTTAAACAAGGGTTATTCTGAGGATGAATCCGATGTTCCTGCCCATCCCTCTCATCTGCTTGGTCAATTTAAAGGAACATAAATCAATTTATCTCTGACTTACTGCAAGCAATGTCTCACAGCATTATACTATATACATACATATATATATGTATATATATATATATATATATATATATATATATATATATATATGTATATATATGCATATGTAAACTTATTATGTACCAAGTCACATTTCTAGAATGGTTTTAAAAAAATATGTAAATGTTTCTTTGATCACATTTCTTCCTGTGATCTTTTCATCCAGTGTCATCACTGACACAGAGGAGTGGCGTTACTTCAAAGGCCTTACGAAGACCACTACGCCACTGGAGGAGAACATGTTTCACATGGAAGAAGGAGCTCCGGGTCCAAAGGTTTATCTCCGACCCAAAGAAAGTGTCCACATTCCCCTGAAGTACCAGAGCTTCCTATGCAACCACACCATAGCTGTCCAGGTAAATGCCAGATCAAAAAGTGACTTTGATACCATTTGTTTCACTCCATTCTTCATATTTTGGTTTAATCTTAAATCTAAGTTTGAAATAGTTTTTTTTTTTATATCCTTTTGTTTCTTTTACTGCATAAAATGGAGACCCCCGACTGTTCTGCCGTCACTTGAGAAAACTCAAAGGAACTGCATTTTTTTATTTTTATCAAACTGATTCAAATATATTAACATCTTATTAAATATAAAAATGTAGAGTCAGAAAAAGACTTCAGGAAAAATCCCACCACATCTCAGAGTTTATTAATCACAGCTGCTTTATTTAAAAGAAGCTGTGTTGTTTATTTCATTTCTTGTCACACAAATGGTTCAGAGAGGTGTCAATCCTCATGGATAATTTATGGCTTCAACCCTTAACTCCTTTGCTGTTTTTTTTTCATCATTTCCAGTTATCTTGCAGTCTGTCTAACTATTGTATTGTATACATCCTTGCTTATATGTAGATGTTCATTTTTGATAACAATTAATTGTTTTATCAAATGCTTACAGGGGCCGAGTTTTCTGCCTACAAGCAAAAGTTCCCAGATGGCCAAGAAGAATCCGTCCAACATTATTAATGCCAAAATTATCAAGGTACACAGTGTCCCATTACGCCCCGTACTATATTCTTTGGCTCCTGCATCATTTTTATCTCCATCTGCAGATATTTGCCTCATTATCTGCAATGTGCATTTGTTTTTTTGTTATGGAAAGCCTTTTATCCAAACCCTTTAATCTTAGAAAAAAAGCTTTTTAAGCTGAAAAGAGAAACTATATACCTTTATGTTACATAAGGGTTGGAAACAACAAAGTACAGTATAATAAAGGCGTCTAAACTCAAGCTGCAGAATATAGTCGGGATATGAAGTGTTATTAGGGTTAGCCTTATGCTCCTTCCCCAACTGTTTCCTCTTGCATGCACACAAAGCCATCTCCCTGAGGAGTGCTGGGATGCAATCTCCTCCCTTTCCTCCAAATATACACAATCAGGACCCCAAATAAATCATATAAAGTTTGAAGTGCCAACTGACAACTAATTAGCCAATACAGATAAGTTTGATTGTGTTAAAAATAAATTCCCTAGTTTCTGTCCAGTAAATGTAGCTACTCTTAAGTGTTAAATGCAATGGTTGAGAGTTGAATTATTCTTGTATAAATTTTGCTGTGGTTAAAGTGCCTTGCAAAAATATTTCTACCACTTGGATAATTGCAAATTTTGTCACATCAAAGCAACAATTCTAATGTATTTTATTTTGATTTTGTCTGATTAACCGATACCAAAGTACAGCATAATTGTAAAATAGAAGGAAAATTATGCATGAGGTATCAGAATGCCTTACAAATAATAACAGAAATTCGGGGTGTTTTCTTCGTAAAACCATATTTTGCAGCGAACTTTGACTTAATAACCCTTAGAGACTTTTATAAAATAGCTGGATTTAATAAAATTACAATAATAAGTTCACCATAAGTTCACAGACTGATAAATTTTTTTTTATCGTGACTTTTAAAGCATTGGTTGCACTGATTTTTATTTAGGGGTATCGAAGTTAGCTGAATTTAAATGCTCCATGCATGTGTCTTCATTTCTAAATCCTTAAATACCTTTTCTGTCACATTGCAATTATGTGCCATTTTATTTTTAACCCTCAAAAATCCTAATAAAAGATATTAAAATCAGTGTTTATTTAAGGGATATAAAAACAAGGGAACCTTTTTAAATAACCCACAAAATAAGCTGTTCTGCAACTGTGAATATTTGAAATGTTCAAAGAATAGAGAGAAGAATGTAAACTTGTCACTGTTAGCCATAAGAGTTTAAATCCGCTGTGTTTTCTGCCGCAGCTGTTAACAAAATGTTGACATGTTTCTCCTGATTCTTTACAAACACAGAAATGGGCAAAATATCTGCAGACCTGAGCTTTGATCTTCTACAAACAGCATCTCTAAGATCCCTCACCAACCTGCGTTACAACATGTTCCTCCTGATGTTCATTTGCAGTAGTTTGAAGTCATCATATTTACACAGGCTGATGAATATCTGCCAGTCTGCCAAATATTTGCCCTTCACAAACTTCATTTTGTGTATTTTCTGCGTCGGTAAGAAATGCAGCTCTGAGCAAAAATAAGAATGATAAAAAAAATATAATAGAAAAAATATGTCAACAGGTCAGAGAGGTCAGGTCTGGATAAAATCTGTATCCCGCTAAAACTGACAAGTCTCAACAGCAGAGCTGTCAGTGTGCCAGCTTTGGCTCCACTGTCAGTCAGCATACATCACCACAGCAAGATTTAGGTCACAACTGCAGGTCAGCATGTGGCTGCAAAGAACATCCGCAGTCCGAACAGATGCTCCGCTTTCAGTGAGCAAATTGTTGGAGGTTAACTTACAAGACAGGATAAGTTTACCCATTAGTCGTCCTATTTTCACTATGAAGGATATATTTATTTTATACTTAAGCTACATAAATATAAAGAAAGAAGCATGAGTTGAATTTAAGAACATTTTAGTTTTTTTGAAGTCCTCTGTAAGTATTTTAGAGGCAGTTAACTTTTTTTTTCCACCTGTCTTCTTCACCGGTGATGCAACTTTCAATAAGGTTTCTGAAAGCCTCTTAAGTGGAATCCCACTTTAGGATCCATCAGCTCCTCTAAGAAGCTCCTTAGCTCTGTAAATTCACCTAATTGATCTTCTGAAAGGGAGAGAAGGTTATCAAAGGATCTCCTTTCCAGATTGTTGTCTCATCAGTTTGTAATTTAATTAGGATCTGAGGTAAAGGAAAAAAAGGTCAATTTAAGGTTTCAGAAACTATGAAAACTCTGCAAGTAAACATCCAAGTCTAGCCTACATTTAACTGCAAAAAAAAGCTTTAAGTGACTCTGGAGAAAGGTTGAACTGACCTTGATGGATTGAGTCATACAGTAAGAATCAAATGCATTATGACACTTTGTTCAGGGTTACTTTTGTTTGAATTTAGTTTAGCAACTCAAAGTGCTGAGGAAAAATACAACACACTCCAGTTAGAGTTGAAGAAATCCATATTATTGCTTTTTTATCTCTTTCTACCCCGATTTAACTTCAAACAATGTTGCACTCATTAGAAATGATGCTACGGGGCTGTGGAAAAAAACTATTTGCCTTGTTATTGTTTCTGGATTTTTTTTGTATTTTATGAAACAATCAACTATCTTTATATTATTAATGTGTTTATTTTTGTGTTCAAAAGTTGCATTTTTGCAGAATACAAAGGAAGAAGTTAATCATATTTAAAGTTCTCATAAAACTTGTAATCTCTTTAAAAAACAAACATAAAATAGTCTTTATTTGACACATCCTGATTAATGCTCATGATGCTGGCCGCTCTGCAGCTGTCTTCAAAGCTTCTCCGATGGCCATTGGAGATTTTAGATAATCAGATAGCAGCTAATTTGTATTCTAGTGTACATCATGCTTATTATGTTATGGTAGCACATATGGAGAGGCAAAGATTCTCAGCGTGTTGCCATTTTAATAATTTATCACTGTTATGAGTTGACTTCTTTAGGAAATAGATGTAATAATCTGTATGGTAATAAATAAAAGTAAGGAATTGGAAAGGATTCTGTTCTGAACATCTAAAGAGGCCCAGTTTGTTAAAGGGTCTCGTGGAAACTCATAAATAATGAGATAACATTCAGGTAAAGTAAAGAACTCTGTGGTCTTGAAGCCAATTATTTCTGTTGCTGGTCCAAACTGGTTTCACTGACTAAGTTTGCTACTGTACTCAATTACAAGCCCTATATAAGCCTCATGCACAGAATCTGGGGTGTGCCATTTTCCACACAAATGTTTCAATGCATCAATAGCAAACCTATGTTGCTCACCACAAAACCATGATTTATGTACACATATTTTTGAAGCTACTGTCTCCTTATGGATGCACTGAAAAGCTTTTGAAGATATAAATGATTTGTTCTCGTCTACAGAAATGTAATGAACAATTAATCTGAGTTTGGTTTGCAATGACATGAGGGCAGTTTTAAACAGCACACGGAGGTGCAGGGAACACCTTAACATCACGGCCTATTATTAATATATGTCTTAGTGTGACAGGATATTAAAAATACAACAATGCAAATATATTGTTTATCCTTAAAGCAAGAAGCTTATCCTGTCTTAACCTTTTTTAGAGCCTCCCACCATCTTGGTGCGCAGCACAGCAAGAAGTCACTCACTTCCATAAAGAAAATTCCGTTTAACTCAAGCATGCCGTGCATACCGCTGACATATCATGTTTCCTCCCACAGGTTACATTTAGAGCAGAAGATGGAAAGCCGATGGCCATCTGCCAAGTGAATGTGCAGCCAACACCCCACGTCGTGGACCAGACTTTCCGACTTTACCATCCTGAACTTTCTTTCCTCAAGAAGGCCATCCGCCTGCCGCCGTGGCAGGACCCAACAGGTTGTCCGTGTTGTCCTACACACCCCCCTGCCATTTATCACTATCTGAACCACAGCCGATAGCACCTTTTAGCTGCACTGACTAGATGTGTGGTAGATCTACTTGAGATAAATGTGTTTTTGTTTCATTCTGAGCCATTAAATTTAATGTATTTTACATCTGGAGGGCTAAATGATGAGATGAAAATGAGCAAATTAAACGTCTATCTATATAATCTACTGTAATCAATAGAAAATTCTCCTATAAATGGTTAAATATTCCCTCTAGCACTAGTCTCTCTTGTTAAGATAAAAAAAAATGCTTTGATTTTCTTGTTTGTGTGTCAACCAGCTGAGGACCCAAATTTCTGGACTCATATTTCTGTTCGCTGCAGTGACCCTAATATCATCTGCCAGACGAGGATGCTGGTGAGGCATCATTTTCCTGCATCTTTCTCCTCTGACTATAAGAATCCCTCAGTAGCCTTTGCAGATTTCAACACTGGTGATTGAATATAAATAGATTTTTTTTTTATTCCCCAGGCTTGCATTTTAACCATGTTTCTACCTTGAGATCATGCATCAGATGAGACAAACTTGTCATTGCTCTCTTAATCAGTTTACGCCTCCAGTTTAACATGTCTCTCTATTTCTATTTGTGTTTAGGTTCCAGGAGAGCCTCAGGATGTGTACTTGAAAGTACCAGGGAGTCCTAGTCCACAGATAAAGATGTTCTTTGTGATGATATTCACGTATGTATCGTTTGTAGACTCTTCAAAGTAAACACAAACACAGCCTGAAGGATTGTCCATTTTGGATTAATTAAATGTTAACACAGGTTTAAACTAAGAACAGGAAGGTGACCTGTTTCAGACTTTTAGGATTCATTATTTAGTCGACACTGAACATCATGAAAGAAGGTGAAACAGGCCGTTCGCACTCAAAAATGTTTGCAGATGTTTTGGCGAAAGGAAAGCATGTAGGTGCATTGACATTAAGGAGCGAGAGAATCCTTAGTGTTTCAGCGTATCTGGATGGTCAGCAATGAGAGTAGTAAAGTCATACCATCCATCTATGAGCTTTAGTCTGAATTAGAGGCTGGCCTGTATGGAAAAGCACTTGGCAGCAGTGTTTTTTCTCATAACTGGATGGATCAGTCTTGCATATCACTGGAGGTAAAGTAGGGTCATCTCCCAGAGTATTTTTCTTGGTGTGCTGTCCAGCACTGCCAGTTTCTTTTAAGATGTGGAAGCCAGTGGGAGTGTTGCATTGCCTTTGACTCATTTATGCTTTGCTTACTTTTAATCAAAATCATCAGATCAAGTGGAAAAGTATCTTGCAACAAATTTGTCTTCTAAAAATGGACACAATAATGTATGTAATTGGCTGCAGTCCTGATGGATATTAAGGTTGTTAAGATGTGTTAATATATTCAGAAATGAAGATCTTCTCTCTTTATGTTGCTATCTAGTTGCTTCTATTTACTCAGCTGTATGGCAGTGAATGCATCATATGCAGGAGCTGCTTTCACCTGTCTTTCTTGTTTAAGTTATGCATTTGGAATGATGATCATTAGTAAAAGTAAATACAAAAAAGTTTTATATCCTGTTTAGTTTTTAAATTGTTTTCTTCAGGATACAGGAGAACTGCTAGAGCACTAACATGTTAACTGTAGAGAAAAACAAGCGAACCCTTTCTGAGGCTGACATTCTATTGGCTGGAAAGGTTGCTAGGCGACGATCCAAGTCCAGTCTAAGGAGGGAAAAAAATCCCCAGGCAGAGCCAACAGGTTTGCGAGCGAATCTCTGACTCGAGTGAGGAGAAGGAAGTTAACAGTTAACAGGAGGAGAAAATCTCTGCAAAGAAGAATTAGATCTGAGAGCAGAAACAAAGATTTTTATGGAGAAGAAACTAGTTTAGACAGAAAACAGGAGTTTTGAATGGAAGCATTATAAGTTTTGGGCAGAAGTAAAGGAAATCCTGCTCTCAGATTGAAAATGGGTGCACTTGATATTTGGCTGGAAAAATCCTCCATAGCGGCTGTCTTTAGGATATACAAGGATGTCCTAGACTCTTCATTGTGACAAGTTGATAACTGAAATACATAACTTTTTTCTTGCTGACCAGGGGATTTTAAAGAAAATCCCCTGGTCAGCATGAATATTAACTGCTCATGCAATCTCAGTAGATCACAATTGATTATTGTTTTTCTTTCTCATTTGAACAAGCAATTAAGAGCCCTTCATTAAGGATTTCAATAGATCAGGCTCTTGGTATCTTTGAACATTTCTCACTTTAGAATCCACTTCAACTTGTAAAAATATTTTTAATTAAATAATTACACGTTTACAATACAAACTCTGAAAAGTATTGCATGCAATTCTTGCCACACATCCTTGGGTTCATATAGGTATTTCCATTTGACAGCGGCATTCTTTTTCATCTAAGGTTCGATATAAACCAACTGTATCGTATCACTGGCCGAATGTTTTGCGTTCTTGTCCTGCAGGAAGGTGAGCATCTGCCCAATCTAATTTACCAACTTCTCTATCAGCTGTTGAAAATAAATAAAACACCCACAAAATATTGCTACCAGGCATGTTTTTTATTTTATTTTTGATGGTACATTAATAGAAGTTAGTGTTCACCTTCTTTGACTCCTTTCATATGTAACCTGCACAGCTTTTGGTGAAAAGCAAACTCAAAATGTTGGTTCTTCCTTTCATTCCATAAAAGCAAACTTTTTATTTATGTTTTTGACATAAATAAGACTTTTACCCTGAAAAACTGCATTTCTTCTCAGTTTAGTTTACCGTAGTTTCTGTTGAATCAAACTGTATTAATCCTAAACCCATAATTTAGTAAATGCACATAGATTATCTTTCTTTGAATGTGATATATTTACGGAAATAGATAAGTTATTTTTACATTTTAAACATTAGCTACTAGTACTGCTCACTGCAGATAGTTTTTATTCTCCTCTGTAAGTGTGGCTCAGCTGGTGAAGCAGGCTTTGTGGCTGGTGGTCAAATCCCCAGCATCTCCTATCCATATGCAGGAGTGTCCTTGAGTAAGACATGGAACCCCAAGTTGGTTCTAATGGCAGGTGCACGCTTCTCATGCCAGCTTCCTCATCTGCCACAGTGACTTTGTTCGGAAAAAAGGAAAATAGTGCCAAGAAGTATAAATCCCTTGAAACACCAATGATAAAAAGCTACTACTTAAACTAAGTGCTTTTCTTCTTTTCATCAAAGCTGTACATTGTAGCATTTTAACATGTCGGTTAAAGTTAATTTTTGATACATTTAGCCATCAGCATTAGATATCAGGATGTGATTTCGATGTTTTAAAGGGCTCTGATTTCTGAGGGAAAAAATCCTTAAACATTAGAGAAAATCTAGGGAAAGCGTGAAATAACGAATGCAGTGTGCACAACAGTTCACCGACTGCAACTCATCAGAAGATCCAAATGTTACTGATGTTTCATGAGCCCTCGAAAGCTCAGGCCGCCTTAATTTCATTGGAAAAATCCCCAAAGGCTTCCTGATTGCTGTTGTCTCAGAGCAGAACTGAGTAGGTGACTATGCTGCCTCCCACTCTCACAGTCGGCTATGGCTTCTGAGACTCTGTTCTCCTTCATCTCAGCTCTGAGTGGATGATGGTGATGAAGGCTGTGATGTTTGTACTTATTAAAATACTTGCAGAGCCGTGTATCAGCTCTTGTGATTTCCAACCCCACGCTGCACCCGCTGTATCTCCAGGGAGCCTTAGCTGAATTGTTCTTGACTGTAGTTTTTTTTTGTTGTTCTCGTTGACAGTGATAAGTGGATGGCAGCGCCTTCTCAGATCTGGCAGGTTTATGTCCATTTTCTGGAGCGGGTGGACGTCAGCTGTGTGACTGGCCAGAGAAGCTGTCAATCACTGGTTCTGAGGGGAAAACAGGCTGTTCGCAAGATCAAATGTTTCTCATCACACCCCAGTGAAATTGAGGTACTGCCTTTTAATCAGTAATAAATAAGTTAAGCTTGTGTGCTTTAAATTTACCCGATGCTCTTCCATTTTAGAAAAAATGCTTATATCAATATTCTGTAGATTGTTAACAGGTACAAGGGAAGTCATGATTCTACCATCTGTCACAGGGTTTTGCTCTAAAACTTAGATCTAAATTTAAATATGTGTTTTTTTTCACAGTGATAAGGGCTTTTACTTTAACATGGGTGGTGATTTGATCCCCGTTTTGGGGGTAAATATAGATGCATGCAAATGCACTGTCAGCCCGCGGTTATTAATATTGATTAATGTTAATATATACCAGATAAATGGATGCATAACAAGCCGGGGAGTAGTAATTTCATGCGTACATTAACATTACAGAGTTGCTAAATCTGTTTACAGACAGCTGAAAGTCAGGGGTTGGGGCTCAATTGACTTCAGAACATGACTGCTGTAAAAAAGGCTGCTACTCTCAATTCTGTAGCTTTATTAGTGTGTAAATGTGTAAACTGGTATGAAAGGCTGTTATATTCGGCGACAAAATCCCTCCATAACAAGCTTTTCTGCCATGAACAAACATGAACTATTCATGAGCGATGGTGTAATCCTGTGTGTACTTGAGAGATTGAGGAAAGTCACACAGGACAGCTTTATTTAGGAGTAGTTTCCTCTTTTGGGTCAATATAGCCATGGACGTATGATGGTGACATTTTTTTAAGCTATTTTTAACACCTTTAGCATTAGCCCGCTCTGCATAAATGCGTTGGACCGTAAATATTCCTGCGGACATTTTCTGTATCGAAGCAAATGGAGGTTGAAAATTGAATCATAAAATGAAGGTACTTTCTTTGGTCAGATTAGCTTTCCTCTTGTTGCTTAGCTCAGATTTTTCCTCAGCTATTTTTACTGTTGCACCTTTTGCTGATTTAGACTTTTACAGAAAACAAATAAGATGCATATTTTTCTTTTCTTTTTTTTTTACTTTAAAGTATCGCCAAAAGAGGAGGACGTTTTATAAAATATCCTAAATTCAGTCAAAATACCATCTTTACGGCATGTTTTGCGTGCACAACCAACAGAGGCCTTAGTCCTCTACGCGGGTTCAAATCCACAAGTGCCGTAAAAATCTCAAAAAAAAAAAGAGAAAAAGATATTTAGCTCCTGGATCAGTGGCCTCAGCCTAAAATCTGGTCAGAGAATGTCATCAGTATATTATTTAATGCCAGTTCTGTAGATCGTCTTGTATTTTATTAAGGTTCTTTACAGTGTCCTGCAAAAGTATGCTCTGAATATTTATTAAGCACGCTTTTAACCTTAATATACATCACACTCATGTTTTGTTGCCAGAATGTGAGCTGCTATATAAATAATATCTGTCACTGCTACCTTAGACGGCAGCAGTTATATACATGGATGATCATGTTGCTTATTGTTGGCATCTGTATGATACTTGGAGCTTAATTTGTTGCCTTTGACATGTTTAAGCTACCTGTCAAATCCGTCTTATATGTCAGCTCTAATTTACAGTTATGGTTTATGATGAGACCTTCTGGATGAATTAGCTCGGCCACATTCCAAATATATATATATTTATGGCTCCTATTCACTCTAGAAATAGAATTTCCAAATTGGGGAAGTGTTATTTTTTCCTCTGTTTTATGGCATTTGATTGGACAAAACAAAGCAAAGTAGTTAATTTAATTAAATATTTTGAAACTGAGTGACCACTGAGAACCCTCTGTCAGAAACCGTTATCCATTGTAGACCTTAGACTAAAAATATTTTATTTATAACTTCTTAAACTGCTCATCTGAACATATTTAGTAAACAATTGTTTAGCAAAATAGAAAAATGTGTAACATTTTTACCCTTTTTTATGTTTCTAGAATGTGCTTTCCTCACCGTGTCATTGAAGGGCCCTTTTGGGACAAATAATTAAATGGGATTAAATATAATTCAATCACACAAAGTTAAATCATAATGATGTTCTGTATCTGCTGTAGATAAGAGTAATTCTGGCTTCTTTATTATAAACGTACATAAATTGTTTCCTAAGGCTAAAGCTTATAGCTAGTCTGAGAAGGTCTGGGACCAAAGCTGATATCTATTGTCTAAAACAAGCACCCCCCCAGATAATACTAAAATTATAACTGAAACACGTCCTTAAGAACAAAAAAATGTAGAGCATTTGAAAATTTAAGTGAACAATATTTTCTTATTTTTTTACTTTAATAAACTTTTCCGTATCTCCTTATACATGTTTTTTTTTTTTCTGCCGATCTTCCTCCTTGCTGGCTTCTAAAAATTTGTGACAACGATTTAAAAATTCATAGGACATTATTCCCATAAACTGCCATGATGTTCTCCACGTTAGAGTTTTCTTCAAAACTTTGGTCTTCTTGGTTCAGCTAGAACCTGCTCTTAGCTTCAGACTCCTCGCTCAGCTACAGAAAAATATGTTTCTATATAAGATATTAACGGTTTTTAACAGTCCATAGCCTTGTATATGTAATATCTGATGCTTAGTTAATGGTCTTTTTCTTTAACTACACATTTGTTTCCAGGTTTGCACCACTGTAACATAATGGATCAACTTTTCACATTACTGTTTATTCCAAAACTTGGAAAACAGCATATCTACACATTTTTAAATCCAAGTCTTTCAATTTGGTTAATGTGAGTAAGAACTGCAATGTCTCTGCTCCATTCTGCAGTTCTTATGAAAAGCAGAAACTCAGCCACCTAAAACTAAACAGAATGCCTACATTTATTAGTTCCACTAAGTAGTTTTTAATTCTTTGTTTCAAGGGCAGTACAGATCCAGTTAAGGTAGTGGAATTTAAGGAATTTTAATTATAGAAAATATGATATTTGAACTTGGAAAACAAAGCATTGAGTCCTTTCTGCCACCTGATCATTTAAGCAACTCTGTCAAGATATTTTGTATGCATTTGTGCTTGGGTGTATTGTCAAAGAAAAACAAAAACATGTAAAAAAAATTTCAATGAGTCTGAATTTTTCTGACTGTTTTGTACTTTTAAGTTAATTGGGCAAAGCTAGCTGAAACCAAACAACTCGAGCCTTGATATTCAAATAAAAAGCTCAAAGCTTTACTATCTTCTTTCAAAATGAAAGATTTTTCCAAGTACACATCCAGAAATGATTTTCTGCTAATTGTCCTTCCAGCAGCTCGTAGCAGCATGAAGCAGGGGGATAACAGCATTCTCCTTCGCAATAACCCCCAGGTTCTTATTCAAGTCATTATCAAGAATAAAGTGTGTTCTGACAGCATGTGTCTTTTTTAATGTCATTTCAATTTAGGGTTGTCTGCCTTTTGCGATGATGTTAGATCATGTTCCACCACAAAAAAATTAGCCACGGTTATCTGAATACAGGGAAATGTGCTCCATGCACAGCATATAGCCCTTTATTTTTTTCAGATCACTTCTTATTTGTATCTGAGAACTACAGGAAACAGACAGGGCTTCTCACTCAGAGTTATTTCATAATGCTCACCCATATTCAAAGAAGGGGATGATGGACTGTCACAGTTTTCCCTGCGTGCTCACTGTACGACCTAAACATGTTTACCCTGTAGAAATAGGGTACCGCCTGAGAAAGTGACAGATGTATTTTTCAAAGAGTTCACCGTATGCATCAGTGGCAGCTTTGATCTGGCTCTCAGCAGGTTTGGCTGACTGTGGAATGCACTGAAGGAGTCTTACAAAACAGGATAAAGCTCAGCTTCAGAGAATAGCTTTGCTTTTCTCTGAGCAGATTGAAAAAGAGCCGCACAGTAAAGCTCAATCTCACATCCTTGTGTATGTCACTTTTCCGCCTCTGCTTTCTCTCGTTTCATTGTCTGTTCCCTTCACTTTGCTTTTTCCACATCTTACTTTTCTCTCCCCTTCTTTCAATAGGCTGGGCACCTTCTTTATTTCCCTCTGACTCTTAAACTCCCTGTCTTATTAGCCCTGTCTCTTTCTAACCCCTTTTTTCTGTTGTGTCACACTCTTTCTGTCACTTGTTCAATGGCTCTGCTTACCTTTATTGTGTCATCCCCATTCTCATAACCTAATCAACAGCATCTTATCACCTTGCTGCCAGATCCAATCAACCTTTACCGCCCTTACCTCTTTTGTAGGTGGACCCAGCCGGTGTGTTTGTTTTGCCTCCTGCAGCTGTGCAGGAGCTCCAACTAAGTGTCCAACCATGGCAGGCCGGCAGCCGCTTCCTGTATGTGAACGCTGTAGACATGGAGCAGCAGCGGCTGGTTGCTGCCTGGCTGCTGTGTCTCAATGTCCACCGTCCTGTACTGTCAAAGGTAGGAGGCCATTTCTCTCGACTTTTAGAAACTAAATCATATGTTGGCTTTTTTTTTTACATTTACAAGTTTTAAGAAATGACTCGGACATTGTTAAATATGTTGGATGATGCAGTTTAACTACATGTATAATAAATACTACAGAACATATCCCATGAAATAACCTCCAACAAATGTTAAATAAAACATCTTAAGTAAATTCTAGAAATGAGGAAGGTTCTGTCTCTCTGACACTTAAACACAGATTTAAACATAGTTGTGGTTAATTTTACTTATTAACTTTGAGTCATGTTTTAACTGATGCAGCTTGGTCTGTGTTTCACTCACCCAATTTTGCAGTTCCTAAGTTATTTCCTTTTGCATTTGGTATGCAAAATAGGTGAGGATTACCCAAAATGAGGTGGATGTTAAGAGGTTAACTTTAAAGGAAAGGCTTAATGTTGAAATTTTGAAGTTTGTAGCCCTAACCCCAAACCCTCCCAGACCGCTCATCTGTTTGCTTTATTGGGACTGTTTAGATATTTACCAGCTTTGCTCCCCCTTCTCTTTTGACTGGTGGCTCCGGCTTCAACAGCTGATATTGTTTGTTCTGTGGTGCAATCTGAACTTATTTTTGGTTCAAAATGTAATCCATAAGAAAATAAATCTTATTTGATATGGAGGCTATGCTTATTTTAATGGGGACAGGCAAGTTAAATAAAGTGGCCAAAAAAACCCCCAAATTATTTAGTTGAAAATATTTGGTTTTCCACCTATTTTGGCTCCTCCTCAGTTTTGGGCTTCGCCTCGTCTGACATAACGACAAGCTCTCATCTCAAACTAGATAAGATATATCTGACTAAGCTGCCATACTTCTTATGATTAAATTTGAACAAAATTATCATTTTTGAATATCAAGTTTTAGTGTAAATAAACCCTTTGGTGTGTTAGCTGTTTTGAATTCTAATGTGTATATATATATATATATATATATATATATATATATATATATATATATATATATGTATATATATATATACATCAATCATCAGTTTGCAGACTATTGGCCATAGATAATGAAAAATCAACAGATTATACATTTCTCATCCAAGTCATTACTACATTTTGCACCATCTTCCTTATCGAATTTCACTTTCTGAGCACTTCTTAGCACCTTAGGCTCGAACAAAGGATATTTCATATATGGGTCAAACACTCATTCAATAGTAATACCGTTTAATAGAGTATAATTTGGCCTTTTTACAGAACTGCTTAAAAAGTAAAATATATATGAAAAAATTATATCCAACTGGGATTTTTTTAAATGAATTTTTATCACAAATTTGGAGCTTTTTGGGGGCTTAAAAGCAAAAGGGATCACCCTAAAATTATTTGCACTGGCTCATTCACATGTGATGGCCCCTTTTTTTTTTTTTTCAGGATAATGGCCGGTAAATGAAAAACCAAAATTCTATTTCTTGCACATTTATAAACAGAATTTTTTTTTTCTGAAAACTGTGTCCATTTCTATTGTCTCAAATGTTTGTTGGCTTTTTTTCCCCATGACTTAATGCATCAATATGGCATAGAGGTAATTACCCTGGTTCTGCTGTGGAGTAATGGAGGCCTCTGCTGATTTAATGGCAGCTATGAGTTCATCTGAATTGTTCGTTTTGGTGTTTTTGTTCCCCTTCACAATATTCTATTGATTTTGGTTCTGGAAAGGCACAGTACGGTCATGGTCATCAAACCAGCATTTATTAGTGTGATTCCAGTTAGAGCAGAGTCCTGCTGCAAAATAAAGTCAGAGTCGTTATAATCTTTATAGACCAATAAAGCTTAATCAGATATGGCTGCTTTGACTGTGGATTTTAAAAGACACAATGCATCAACTCCAGGAACTAACATGGGACTTCAAATCATCCTTGACTGTTGTAACTTCCCTCTGGTCCTTGAACATCTTAGATTTCAATAAAAATATATTTTATCCTAATGACCCACATTGAGGGTCTATTTAAAGGTTCACCTTTAGAAATGATTCAGTTCAGAATATAGGAATGAAGAGTTAGTCTTTAAATATTGTACTATTTGTAATTGATATTACATTAAGACATAATGTAAGAGTTTATATTTATCAAATGAGTGAGAAAAAAATAATTTATTTCTTTATTTTTTTATTAATATCAATTTATTAGCTATACCTGTACATATTTAAACATTCTCACCTGCAGAGACTGATATGACTGATTTTACAGACTTCCTGCTCCAGATTCTTGTTTGTTTCTCTGCTGATTTTAGAATAAATATTTGCCTTTTTTTCCATCTCCCATGAGACAGGATGTGAAACGTGGTTGGTGTTGTTTCTACAGCTCCTTCTTATGAATCTAAAATGTTTAATTAGGAATGTAATATTTTCTTATATATTTTGAATAATCCAAACAACAGGGACTACTGCTCTTTGTTTTTAATCTCGATGCGATTCTATACTGCAACCATGTTTCACTATGAAATTTAGTGACCAGCGAGTGTGACATAAACTGTTTGTGTGCGTGGGTGTTTGCAGGCATTCGAAGTGTCCGTTCCAGTTGGTAATGGGCGTGGCAGCTCCAAAAAAATCACTTACACCAACCCTTACACCAGCACACGGACATTTCTGCTCCGCTCCGACCATCCCGACCTGCTCCAGTTCAGAGAGGATAAGTTCCAGGTGAGATAAGACGGGAGGCATTACACTTCTCTGCGCTTCATTAACACTGGAATCAATAGTTTGATTAAAGCCTTGACCAAAGCTCATCAGCTGCCTTCCACAGATAGTTTCTCTAGATTAAAGGATTAATCTTGTTAACATGCTGGGAATAATTTCAGCATTGTTGACGGTCCATGACATGAACTCCTAAAAGTGAAACATCAATCCTTGTTCCAGCAGAAGTCGATGTAGAATAGCTATTAAGTTTGTGACAAATTCTTTATTGATATTAAATGCAACAAAGACTGAGCTGCAGAGAAGCTAAAAGTGATGCTTTATTGGAGCTTTAGCCAGCAATTGCTACTTGTGCAGTATTATGATCCTTCTCTCCCTCAACACCACTGATGCTGTATCACGTCTATTTTAGTGCTGTCAATCGATTAAATTTTTTAATCGCGATTAATCGCATCAATGCCTGA